TCTCTCTCTCTCTCTCTCTCTCTCTCTCTCTCTCTCTCTCTCTCTCTCTCTCTCTCTCTCTCTCTCTCTCACTCTCACTCACTCACTCACTCACTCACTCACTCACTCACTCACTCACTCACTCACTCACTCACTCACTCGTTCGCTCACTCACTCGCTCATTCGCTCACTCGCTCACTCACTCACTCACTCGCTCACTCACTCGCTCACTCACTCGCTCACTCACTCACTCACTCACTCACTCACTCATTCTCTCACTCACTCACTCATTCTGTCTTTCTTTTACAGCCGATCCTTCCAAGAAGATCCTCGTTTTCGTCTAAGCGCTGATTCACCCCGCGAAAACATCACGGATTATCATAGTAACGAGAATACGCAAAGAGTAGGAGGATTGTGAGGCAGAACCAACAGCGGGAATTAATTCCGTGAAATTGAATTTGCGATTTTCGAGATGTCGTTTAGTGTTTTCGAGAGTCTCTTAGAAATATTATCATCCTCCACCTTTCTCGCTTCGCGTTTTCCGAAAACAATGATGTAAATATAAATAAATTTACACGATTAAATTATTATTTATAAAATGAATTAAAACATACATTTTATACAAAATATTTTTCTCAGAATTTATTTTAATTAAGATTAACAATTTTTTTTCTTTTTTACGCAAATACTTAATTTCATAAAAGTGACTTCACTTTAGTGCATTTATATTACACAGTTCTGACTAAAATAAAAAGAGAGAAAAAGATAAAAGCTTGAATAATCATACTTGATGTACCGAATTAATTATTCTTATGCCAAAATTCGCGCATTGTCCTTGTCCGAAATCAGACAATCTCGAGAACACACAAATTTGAACGCTGTTGGAAAACAATCATTAAATTGTCTTATCTCTTTCAGATGTGTTTTAAATGTCTTTTACATAACCATTTTTTTTCTTTTCGATTCCTTCGAGCGAAGGAATTTCCAACTAATCGGGGCTAGGCCCGAATGGACGTGCGCGAGGAAAATTCCGTTACGTAAAGGATTTCGCTTTGCAAATGTAGGCACTTCCGTCGTCGTATCATTGTTAATTCGTTCATCGCGTTCATCGAATACAAATCGACAGATTTGTATCGACAGAAAGCGCGAGCGGCTCGCGACAAAAGCGAGCACCGGGACCGCACCTTTTCTTCGTTCGTTCGTTCATCAGGAATGCCGAGTGTCCGAATATCCGTGCAGACGTGCACGAATTTTGCGTCGTGCACATTAAAATCTACACGCGTCACGATCGTCAAATCGTGATATCGCACGCATCGGTCACGCGCCGGTCTGATCCGGACACGGCGCGTGGCCGCTTACGTATGCGCGTGCACGCACACTGATGCACCAACATAAACACACATATACACGCACACACGCATGCAGACACGAATATTCCTTATACTTTGAGATATCACCGTGCAAAAGAAACGGATGATTACTATCGCACCGAAGTCGCAAAACCTCGGGAAAATTCGTTCCTCGAGATAATTAACAGAGAGATTAAAGATATATTATATTAATTTTAATTTACAATGAAAAATTATGAAAAAAATTATAGATTGCTCTAGGTTGCATTTAAAAGGAATACTAAAAATTTTGCGGCCGTTTAGAATTTGGAATAAAAAGTTATTTAAATAAAAAATAGAAATGTGCTTTAATAAAAATGTAATTGAGAAATAATCGTTTCAATTTTTTTATATAAATACTTTAGATATTCAAGATAATTTATGTAAAGTAAATTAGTGTTAAGTAAAATTTTCATTTACAAAACTAATTTTTGCATCGCAATAAAACTTCACATGAATATTGAACACTTAAATAAAATAATGAGATTTTTGTCATTATTTCTTAATTACATTTCCATTTCCAAGAGCATGCTTTTACTTATTTAAATAATTTTTTATTCAGGTCTAAACTTTTTTAAATACAATTTAAAATAATCTGTAAATTGTTCTCATGACTTTTTATTGGTAAATATAAAAATTATAGAAATAGATGTAATATATCTTTAATTTAAAGATGGCCTACTCGAACCCTCCTCTTTCCTGCAGTTTCTTAATTATTTCTTCATACAATGGCGGACATTTTGTGTTTATTACGTTTTGTATACTTTACAAACATGATTAGATAAACAATCTTGTCTCCCCTCTGGAGTGTAAAGCGATATAACTAGATAAAGCGTGAATTAGAAAATGATACGTAACGTAACTTGATTTCTTTGAAGAATAGTATTATTTATTTCTGCTAGAAAAATAAAGAAAGTAGAAAAAAATTTCAAAGTTATAGAATTGCGCTTGACATTCGGAATCCAACTCGTAAGTTTACAGAAAATAAATATAGAAAGTCACTGATATCAATCCCTTTCTATATAATTTGCCTACTTCTCATGAGATTTCAATCACATCGTATTAATGAATGAATCGAAAATATACGATTTAAATCTTGTATTATGCAATTCTGTAATAATACAATATGAAATAACGATACTTCAGTTTCGACATCTCATAATCTCGGTACTTTTGCTCGACCTTGAGACAGTCGAGTCTAAAAATATAACAGTTGCATATTGTATTTTGTACAACATGCGTTATCTTTTTTTTTCATGTTGTAACAGCCTTTTTAATATCAATCAATTAACAATAACAAACAATAAAAACATAATTTTTTAAAATATTTTTCTAAAAATTGCACTTTATTGTTTGTCTTACCTTGAAGAAATAGCAAAGGGGGAAGTTGAGCTTTCTAGACGCAAGTTATTTATGGAAAGCGTAGATTATCGTGTACTTTTTAGAACGCCACGGTTAAAAGCTCAATAGTTCGAAAATAATCAATAACATCCCAATCCACAGAAGCTTTCAATTGTCCGACTTTCGCATTATGACATAAGGCTTATTCTTTTTAGCTGGACTTACATGATTTATCTTTTCTGTTTTTCTCTTCACGTTGAAGAAAAAAAGAGAAAAAAATAAACGATGCAAGAAGTTCAACTAAAAAATTCAACTAAAAAAACAAGCCTAATTATTCCGTCGTAAATTGAAGCGTTCGGATGGGTTTAAAATAAGGCTTAAAATAAGGGCCAGAAAATAAGAAGCGCCGCTGGCGAACGGCAGTGATTTGGGAATATCAAGGCCTAGAAACAATGAAAGAAATAAGGAATAAAGAATTAAGGCATAGAGAATTAGGAGTAAAAAATTAAATTCCGACATATGGGAGACTATGCTTCAAGAAATAACAAGATATTCTTTTATTGGTTATCGAAAATAATTTTCTTCCTGCTCCTAATTCTCCATATTTAATTTTTTATTCCTATTCATTGTGTGTGAGCGTGTCTACCTTTGTTAATATCGAATTTGGCCTCCATGAAGCGACGCGCGTCCCGCAAAAGGACGTTCCGCGCCGCGTTTGGCGAAGGCGCGAAGTCCGGATCGTCCGCGTCGAAGGACACGTTTTCCTCGAATTCCGTTAACATTGTCTTCTCCGTCATGTCTCGCCTATCACGAATGAAGGACACGGCGAAATCTTCGGCTATCTGAAACATCCGGCAGGCAGGTCGCGTAAAACATCACGTTCGTTTGCGGAATCGTGGGAATTTAAAATCCTTACGCTTTCTTCGCTTACAGCATACAGGATCGCGTGAAATATATACATATATCCTGTGTACACGCTTTTCTTATATACAACATTATCGAACAAAGTCGAATATAATCTCGTTTCGCGCCGTTCGATCACTTCGAGGACTCTCGTCGCGAGGTTCGAGCCGTTGGCGAGCAGGCTGAAGTTGGCGGCACGTCGCGCGATTACGGGATTATGCAAATTTTGCGATAATTATTACCTGTGACGATGGTGCAAGCGTTTCACGTCGACATGCTCAGCTTATCGTTATCGTCATCTTCGTGATATTCGTTATCAGTTTCGTAAAAAGTTTCAGGAAGCCGTCGTAACCCGCGCGCGTGCGCGCGCGCTCTCTGTTTCTATCTTTTTTTTCGATGATCCACTCGTGACGACAAGCGGTAACCGACTGACACCTGACGTGCGTTATCGCGCGAAAAAATTGCAGCTCGCTGACGAATGACGCGCGGCCGACTTCAGGACGGTGTCGCGAGCGTTTATCTCTCGTCCTCTAGCAATCTACAATTCCTGACAACGCGAAAACAATTTTCAAATTTTTTTTTTTACTTATATCTATTAATTTTTATCTTGGTTTGTTTTTTTTCATTAATTTTAACTTTGATTGTTCTTTTCTAATTTGTAGAAGTAATAAAAGATAAAAAAGTTAATTAAAATTAGTCTATATTGATAAAAATAGACATTAAATCCATATTTCGGTAACATATAGATTAAGAATCACAACATTTCATAGCTAAATATGTTGTATTCTTAACGTAA